AGATAAAGATCAAAAAAGTTTGAGATTGAATAAAACTTCTCTTTTTGATAATCCTTGTTCTCTTCAAATTAAATACGTTCGGATATAATTTGCATAGAAAACCCATCAAAGACCAAGCTCCGAATAAAATAGATTATCCTTTAAAACCAGCGCACAACGCCAGTCCCAACGCACTACGACAGTGCCAGCGCGGCACGATAGCACCAGTGCGGCGCGATGGTCCCAACACGGCGCGTCAGAGCTAGCGCGGTGCGTCAAAAGCAGTTTTATTCCGATTCAAATTCTGATCGCTATGACTCTCTTATTTCCTTATAAATAGAGGTCGTTTTCCACCGTTTCAGATCATCAACAATGATCACAATCATCATAATCACCAATTCGCTTTCTTGATCCCTATGTTCTTAGCCTTAGCCTAAATACATCCTTGATATTCTCCTAAATCAGTCACAATACCTCATTCACGAGATTCGAGTACTCCTAGTCATCCTCGACGTTGCCTTCGACCTCGACGTGAAAGGTTGATAGTTCTAAGGGTTTGGTCCCAAATCTATATTTCAATTCATTTTTGATTTGTTTACTTTATTGATTTAACTTTCTTGAAGTTCACTAACGTGTGTATTGTTTTAATAGCAAGATGGTTGAGGCATCAAAGTGAGTAATTTAATCACCCTCATTATTATTATTATTTGATTTTGGATTAGAAATCATGTTTAGAATATTATTTTAATTCCTAGTATCATGTTTATGATGCTTATTATGATTTCTAGTATCATGTTTAGGATTACGTTTTGATTTCGTTATTAGTGACATGCTTGGATTTGTTATTAATCTGTTTAGTACCATGCCTAGGATCTTACTATTGAAGATGTTTGTAGGGAATTTTTCAAATTCAACCTTGAGCCCCACTGTGATCATGTCTTTAAGCATGGTGGCAGCCAAAGGGAAGGAAGTTAGAGATAAAAGAGTCGCCAACAACTTTAAGGACCTTGTAAACCGTTCACGGGTGTGAAGGTTACACCCCATTCACGATCACGGAGATCGCTAACTCCATAGTGGCCCGGAACAATGACTGGAAACTCGGGATGATGGTACGAATAGAACCTAAATGAGATTGAACCTGCCCTAAATCAGCCTCTACATAATTCTTATGATATTCATGTGCGCTTTTTGATCAACATACACACATGAAATTAATCCTAAGCATATTTAATCTACGCTGGTTGATTATTAATGCACAAATAAATCTATTATTGACGATCACTTGAATTAAAATCATATTAACCTAAATTAAATTATTAAATTATCTTATTAGGCATGATTTCAAGTACAAATTACCTTTAAACCAACAAGAAGGGCGTGATAAAGCAATAACAATAAATCATGAATAATCAAGCAATGTAATAACTGACACAACAATCATCATCATAATCAATATCATCAAAATATCATTAGTAAGATCTTAGGCATGATACTAAACGGATTAATAACAAAACCTAGCATGTCACTAATAAAAAAGAACAAATCTTTGACCTAAACATGGTGCTAGAAATCAACATGCACTAGTAGAAAAATTGAATTCCGCACCGCACTTTTCGCACCGGTTCTTGAAAACCGGTGGGAAAAAAATGGACAAGATTGGGGAAAATACTTTTCGCACCGGTTTGAACCAAACCGGTGGGAAAAATTAGTTTTTCGCACCGGTTTGGTTCGAACCGGTGCGAATGCTCTGAAAAAAAAACTGAAATATCTTCTTTCTTTCTCCTTCCTCGAAATCTCCTCCTCTCTCACCTACCTTAGCTTATCTCTCCTCCTTCATTCTTCTTCATCTTCTATGAGGGCTGCGATTTTGAGCCGATTTTGAGCAGCCGCGACTTTCCTAGTCACCGTCATCCTCACCGGAGCCGCTTCGAGGTTCTCATGACCCACTGTCACCCTCATGCTTCACCTGCTCTCCACGGCTCCACCACTATTGTCACTCTTCGCCGTCGCATTCTTCTCTGCTCCTTGAAATCTTTCCTTTATCAATGTCTTCTGCATAGATATGGTCTAAGTAATCTCTCTTTCTTTATATTAAAGATTTAATTTGAATTGAGCAAGTTTGAAATTCTAGGGTTAATTTGATGAAGACAATTGTGTTATTTATAGTTATTACATTTTAATGTTGATTATTGTTCATAAAAATCGTGCTATCTTACTATTACTCGTGTACGATTTGCTACGGAATCTAACAATCTTCTCATTTCATCTTGGGATTCTGTAAGTTACTATTATTTGCTTCTTTATAAATTTTTATTTACAATTTTCTTTTGAATTAACTCCATTTAATTAATTTTTTCTTCAATATTTTTAGAGTATTAGGTTGGTGGATGTGGAAAGCAGTAAGGTTAGATTAGAAGTTCAAACAGAAGCTGCAGTACTTGATTGCTGTTTTCAGAATGAGTTTTTTGCTTTCTCTGCTGCTTTTGATGGATCCATTTTCAGGTAGTTTTTTTCCCTGAAAATTTGGTTTTTTGTTGAAATTTGGGTATAATATAATTCAAGGGTTGCTTAATGAAATTGTAATTATTATCCAATTTATTACCCACTTCATGGGAGCAGTCGAAATTTACCTAAAAAGTAAGAAAGAATGAAAATCGAAGGAAGACAATGAGAATGGGAGAGAATGTAGGAGAGATAAGGAGGAACTTGTGGTGGAATTGTACTCTTAGTATCCCTGCTAATGATTTTTGATATGTGAGTTGTGATATTACACCCTAATAAGCGTAGGCGATTCGTTTAGTTTGTTTGAAAATAATGTGAAGATAAAGTATGGATTTTGATCTAAAATAAGGCTAGTCATAATGGCCTACAACATAATACAAGTATTAAAGCAAGACAGCAAGGGGTAGGAAGCTTTGATTCTCGCTCATTGATCATCACTCACTAAAGAGCTTTATTTTGGAATTATAACACTCATGTAGCAAACACAAGCCTAGAAAATGCATGAAAGGACTTAAAAAAGGGTTGGAATCTAACACTTGAAATGTAGGTTAGACTTTGGGTGTCTATCCTTTAATGGGGTAGTATTGGCTTGCCTATGTTTTTGTTAAATATGAAGAATCTTAGAACACTATATATGTTAAGTACTAAATTACTTGAGATGTTAGATGGGAAATTGTATACTCACCCTTGTGTGTATTGATTTATTTTCGGTTGGCTACATAATTTTCAGCTGCTTCAGTGTGAATCATCTTTTCGCTTATTCCGCCAAGGATATATTAGAGTTGAGCCTTATTCACTCATACCTGGAACTATTGAATTAAAAATTCTGGTATCATGGTTATTGGATGTGGGCTTCTATTATGCTACTTAGACAAGTATTAGTTATAATTCTTTCAAAAAAAGTATTAGTTATAATTGAACAACTTGGTTACTTCCAAGCAGCATCAGTCAAAAAATTAGTGCCCCCACCCCACCCCACTGTCTTCCTTAAGAGGGGTAACTAACCTTCATTACTGATTTTGCCACCAGATACTTCACATATATCTAGCAATTCACAAGCCATCAACAAATTATACAAGTCTTAGCTGACCTCAGTTTAATTTTCTTAAAGTAACTATTTATGTATTACAGGTACTTTCGACATGCTTCTGGAGTGATATTTGCCATATCGCAGGAATTGGCTCAGTTTGTATCAATAAACAGGTTATCCTTGCTGCATCATTTCCCTTAGTCTTATTCATACATCAAGACATGTTATACACACATTCATGTGCTAAGGGCTGAGTCAGCTGGAATGAATTTGGAACCTCTGATCTGATTGATTTGCAGGTCCATCCTTCGAACCTTTGCCCACGATGACATTAGTGTTGGGTCTTTATCCTTTATGCTTTGAGGAGCTTTATGCTGAGTACCAAATTAGTGTTTTGGTTGTGTGTGTAGTATATATTGACACTTAGAAAATCTATATACACCTCTCCTAAGAAGTAAATATTACTTCATTGTGTTGCATCTATCCCAAAATCCCCAATCCATTAAGGTGAAGTATTTTGTATGTTATTGGCATATAGTTTTTGGTGATATAAAATTTGAATCTTTAAATTCACTTGTCTGACTGAAGCTTGTTATGTAGCTCAACTTCCTTATGTAAAATTGCAAACAGCTTTGCCTATGAGTCTTGATCAGTTAGGAGTGAGGGTTGCATACATCTATACGTCCTTAAACACTTGGCATCAATATCCATGTTCAGGTTCTTGGCTTCTCTGTTTCGAACCAGAGTTGCTTCCACTTTTGCATCCGTTATCTTCATACTGGCTGTTTTCATATTCAGTGGATTCATAATCCCACGATGTAAGAATACTTGTGAAGTTTTACCTAATAGAATTTGCTGATCATCTGAACATATTACCTACCCGTGTGCTTACTAGCAGCTTCGAGGTGGGGGTGGGGGAGGGGGAGGGGTTATTGCTTAGTATTCTGGACAGAATATGAAATCTTGATGTATTACTCAATTATTTTGCGTTTCTTCATTGGCTTGTTTTACTTATGGCCACCTCAGAGAAACTTAAATATCTAGCCAAGATCTTAAATATAAAAAAGGTTCTGCAGGGCGGCAAGGGTCTCCTTTTGTCCAGCCAAGATCTTCAGGTGGTCAAACTAGCATCCAATCTATGGAAGATTAGGTAATTATTTGTGCTATCTAAGTCAAAAATCACAAATATAATATGCTAACACACTTTTACAGGCAAATAATCACAGCTTAGCGCGGTTGAAAAGATTAGCTAAACCAAATTAGTGTTTGATTAGGTACATTGTTAGACCCTATCACATGACCACCTTTTCAAGTATTATTCACAACAATAAAATCATACAAATATAGAATCCCTTTGAGAAACATTTTGCACTTAAGTTAGTGACTGAAGTTGCCGTATGAACAAAATGCCTCTACTGTAATGATAAACTTCAGTCATTTTAGTGTAAATCTGTATATCATATACTAGTATATGACTTGTTATTCAACCATGAATGTTGTAAACATATTACTAATTGTCTTTTCTTTTTTCTATCTACTTATTCTTTCATGTTATGGAGCTGACACTATCACTGGAAACGGGTATGTAACCGGGGACCAAACGATTGTTTCTGCGACAGGGTTGTTTGAGCTAGGCTTCCACAAACCAGGTAACACTTCCAACTATTACATAGCCATATGGTATAAGAAAATTCCTGGAAAGCCGGTCTCTGACAAGTATACATCGAATCTAAGAATCTTGAATGATGGTAATATTGTTCTTGTTACTAAAGGGTTTAAGGAACCAATCTGGTCCACAAACTTGAAGTACAACAGCTCTAGACCTGTAGAGGCTGTCCTCCTAGATAATGGGAATCTCGTTATAAGGGACGGGTCTAATCCAAGTTCTCCTCTTTGGCAGAGTTTTGATCATCCAACTGATACACTTATGCCTGATGGTAAGTTAGGACTGAATAAACTTTCAAAGTTGAGTAAAGTTCTTACATCTTGGAAGAACTTAGAGGTTCCTGGGAAAGGTCTTTTTAGTGTAGAGCGCGATCCTAATGCTAATCAGTTTATTATGATGTGGAAAAGAATTGAGCAATATTGGACTAGTGGCCTGTGGGATCCTGAACAGAGGATTTTTAGCTTAGTTCCGGAACTCAGGTTTCTGAAAACACAGCTGTATAGCTTCAGTTACGTTGATAATGAGAATGAGAGTTACATAATTTATTCGGTTCATAACTCTTCCATTGTAACAAGGTTAGTCATGGATGTTTCAGGGCAGCTTATGCAGCTTACATGGCTGGAAAATTCCCAACAATGGGTTTTGTTTTGGTCACAGCCTAGACAACAGTGTGAAGCATATAGCTTAAGTAACTTCATTTGTTTTAGAGATTTTTTTACTTAGATTTTTCTTGTACCCTGCTGTAATTTACTCCTACATATATAGTGTGTTTGTTCTGATTCTTTTTCGTGCTTCTGCATGTTGATTCAGCCAGTAGTACAAACCAGCAATGGCAGCAGCATAACCAAAGCAGCAACAACAGTACAACATCAGCACCACAAGAGAAAAACAAACAGCAGCTAGCAACCCACCCAACACCTCATACCAACTCATCCATCACCATGAAGGCATTTATGAACAAATTAAAGGGTAGTTTCATATACAAACTTTTATTTTATTTTTTATGGACGAAAATTGTAATATTACGGCTTTTTTTTTATTGAAAATATGTAATTATATATATATATGTTAGTGTTTATATATCAATTTAAGTGAAAAAAATGCAAAAAAAAATTTATTTTATTTTTTTATTTTTTTTTGGGCATTTTTGGCACCGGTTTTGGAAAAGAACCGGTGCTAAAAGGTTTTTTTAAAAAATCTTTTTGGGGACTTTTGGCACCGGTTCTAAGACAAACTGGTGCGAAAAGTATGGTTTTTAGCACCGGTTTTCAACCAAAACCGATGCCAAAAGTCTGATTTCGCACCGGTTTTGAACCGATGCGAAATGTCTGGGGTTTTAGCACCCCCCAAATCCGGGCCGGTTCAAAACCGGTGCTAAATGGGGGTTTTGAACCGGTGCGGATTACGTGTTTTCGGCTAGTGATGATATTAAAAATATTAGTTAACACCCTAAACATGATACTAGGAATCAAAATCAACATCCTAACATAATACTAGGAATTAAAATAAGATCTAAGCATGATTTCTATATCAAAAGAACAATTAAGTAATCAAATTACTTACTTTGATGCCTCGTATTTCTTTCTATCAAAACAATACACAGGTTAGTAAACTTCAAGAAAGATTAAATCAAATAAATAAAAATAAAAATTGAAATATAGATTTGAAACCAAACCCTCGAAACTATCAACCTTTCACGTCGAGGTTGAAGGCAAATTCGAGATTGGCTAGGAGTATTCGAAGCTCGTGAAGAAGGTATGCTGTTTGCTTGGGAAAAGTATCAAGGATGTGTATTAGGATGTATTTAGGCTAAGGCTAAGAAAAGAATAAAGAGAGAGAGAGAAAGTATTAGTGTAGGAATTAGATATGATTGTTGGTGAATGATCAAGCTTGTTGATGATTGAAAACAAGGTGAAACGACCTCTATTTATAAGGAAAAAAGAGGGTTGAAGGATCACAAAAGAGTCGAAAATCAAATCAAAGTAAAACAGGGTGAAACAACCTCTATTTATTATAGACTTGTCGCGGCACGATGATGCTGTCGCTCACCGATGGTTTTGGAAAGATAGAATTCGTACGGAATCTGATTTCCAATCGGATTGGATTAACCAAATTTCCGTACTTATTCTATTTTTACTGGGATTAGGATCATTGAAAAACAAATGTTTTATCCAATGTAAAATTCTTAAATCTTTATCTTTTCAAAAACAGGATAAATTAGAACCTTCTAGAGGATTCTAGAAGCTCACAATAAATCCTAATGGATTTAGGATTGAAATCAACCTTCTAGAAGATTCTAGAAGCTTATAATAAACCCTAATTGGTTTAAGAACGAGGTTAAGGTTAGTGGATCCTCCACATAATCATTGGGTCGAAGGTAAGGCTTTGTTTTGGCTCGGTTTAGTGTTTTGGCTTCAACTTCTTCGTTTTAAGTCGGATTTGGGCTTATAATATATCGTTGGAAATCTATTTTAAAGACCTATGCAACTAACCAATAATTGGATCAAAATAATGGACCAAAATAGACTGTTTTGGATGTTTTTATAAAGAGGACACGAAATGAATGATTTTCAAAGATACGAAATAAATGACTTTTGACTAAACAGTTAAGGAAAGGTTCTAAATGGTCAAGGCTAAAGGAAAATTCACTAGACTCTTCAACTCTTCACCTAACTCGGTAATCAAAGACGTGAAAGTTACTCATCACTGGGTTTGGTTTTTGGGGAGACACAATCAGGTGTCTACAGAAGCCCCCACTTTGTCTGAGTTTAGAGAAATGTAAGTTTCGAAAACAAAAGTCAAAGTAATTCGACAAGGACAAAGAATGATTTTGAACGTTCTGCAATCGTAAATCATTTTATTCAACGTCGATACCTGCATAAAGCGTTAATTCTACAAATAAAGGAGTTAAGAAACACGTATCTTGCACCGTTGGGTACACGTCTCGGCGCGACATCAATTTGCTGAATCAAATTTGCTTTGCAAACTCCACATCTTAGGGAATGCCATCGAAGATTACGGTGCTTCGCTATCTTCAAACTCAGGTGACAACCTCCACATCTAAGGGAATGTCGTCGAAGATCGTAGTGCTTAACCATCTTCAAATCAAAGTGACAACCTCCACTTCTTCGGGAATGTTGTCGAAGGTCGCAGTGCTTAGCCATCTTTAAGTCAAAGGAAGACAACCTCCACATCTTAGGTAATGTTGTCGAAGATCACAATACTTAGTCATCTTCAAATCTTCTCACCTTCACTCCTGGAAGTGGTATCTCCTCCATCTTCGAAAAATCTACCGTAAAAACCTCATCTCTTAAGGTCCTACCGAGCTTCAAATTCATTTCCATAGAAATCTTCCATCATAGGAATTCTTTGTGATTATGCTCAATCACTACTCAATTAACGTACTCCACCAATACATAGGCGAACTCAACCAATACTTAGGTGTACTGAAATGTGCTCAACCAATGCTTAGGTATACTCAAATGTGCTTAGACAATGCTTAGGCGTACTTAAATGTGCTTAGCCAATGCTTAGGCATTCTCAATCAATACTCAAATGTATTCAGCCAATGCTTAGGCGTACTCAATCAATCAATAAGATGATCGTCATCAGGCCGATCATTAACTACGTTTGTAATCAGGCCGATTACTATTCAAATTAAATCATTTATCGCTCATCACGATGCTCAAAAGGCTCAAATGCTCATCAAGAGGCTCAAATGTATAATCATCTACTTTGGAAAGAATCAATTGCTCATCAGGCTTGAGTAGATAATTGTCGTCCAGAAAATCGATCTGCATGAATTCAAGTACTATGTGCCATGTCAGGTTTTATCGCATAGCGACTGTGCTATCGCGCCACGTTGTATCTGTCGTGCTGCGCTGGAATCAAGGTCAGACTCATTCTGCCCGTTCGGCTTCGTTGTTGTTGCTTGTGCCTTTTTGCTCAATCAAATCGCCTCAAATCTATTGTAAAGGTTACTCGTCCGTCAGGGACTTAGTGTACCTACCTCTATATTTTGGACTATAGGACTTTGCTCGTATTTATAGCTTTCTTGAGGTTGACCTAAGGCTTGGTGTACTTAACGCATTGTGGTTGATTGGCTTAAGGTTGACTCAAGGCTTGGTGTTCTTGACTCATTGTGTGACTCAATATACTCAACTTGACTCGATGGGTTATGACTTGATGTGTGTAAACTCAACTCAACGTGATGACAACCCAATGTGCATGACTTAACTCGATGTGATGTGACTCAATGTGTATAATCAACTCGATGTGGTGATTGTGCTCGTGCAACTCAAAAATGCAGAAAAACAAAAATTTTCTGTCATTTTCGTGGAGGGTACCAACTTTCTCCTGAAATAGAAAGACGTGAAAAGGAAAAGAGGTAGAAGTTAGGTGAAAATCAAAAGCGGTGAAGTTTTCGAACTTCCTCAACATGAATTAAACAAGCGATAGTGCATGTTAAGCGAGCTTAATCAAGTGTATGCGTTGATGTTGTATCTCATGGTGCAAGGATTGTAGCATTCTAGACTATCCCTGTTGATGACTCGATAATGAAAGTATTTAGGTAATTCAGCCATGTTTAGAATTACATCACAATTGAAATTATGTGGAGAGAAATCACGGATGCAGAAATGCTAGAAAAAACATACTCTACTTTTCATGCAAACAATGTTTTCCTGTAGACACAATACCGTGAAAAGGGTTTCAAAAAATTCTGAATTGATATCTTATCTCCTTGTGGCTGAGCAAAATAATGAACTATTAATGAAAAATCACATAATGACGCCCAAATGGCTCTACTCCATTCCCTGAAGCGAATGCGACATCCCATAGTGGGAAAGAGCAAAAGGTTATAGACCACACTAGCAGTCGTGGTCGGGGCCGTGGCCGCAGACGTGGATATGGTCATGGTCGAGGTGGTCATTTTAGGAACTCATACTATTACCAGAAGTGGGACAATAAAGATGGAAATAAGAATGAGAAGGATAAAATGAAAATATATTCTATTTTATGGTGTAAAAGGCCATTGGTCTCGTGTGTGTTGCACACTAGAACATCTTGTAGATCTTATGGAAAACTTGATTAAGTAATTGTCGTATCACTTTTACCCAATTTTGGGAATTATTCTTGGTTCCCATAAAATTCGAGTGTCAATGGTGTATAACTGGGGAGTTCTTCTATCAAAGGAGGCATGCAAGCATGGTCAGAAAATACGGAGTGAATTACAAGGGAGATTGAGAGTGGTAGCAGCGGCAATTCGGAGGAGTGATTGGAGCGAGGAGTTCACCGGTTTTGGATCGACGACGACGAGATTCATAAGTGATACTCTCCTAGTATTATTCTTCTTAATTTCGTACTATTATTTTCACTTTCATGAACTTGTAGTTTTGATTTATTTGAGTACTAGTCGTATGATTTTTGATTGATTAAATAAATTCAAGTTTGGTTATATATTCGAATTACATTGTTCAATCAGTTATAATTGCATTTCATGCTTAATTTGCTATCCTATTAAGCATAATTATGTCGTTTGAGTACAATTGAATGCTAATTATGTGGTTTGGCCTAGTTTAAATTGCATAATATTAATAGTACTAATCTAAATCGAGGTTTGCGAATGGTCTTAGTTTAGGTTGGAGTGTAATTCGATCTAATTAGATCAATCACCTATGTGTTATCTAATTAGGATTTATGATGTCCTATATCAATTGCTTCTAGATTTAACTATTGTAGGTTGCGATAATATTTACAATAGAAAATTGTAGTTTAGAGTTAGTATCAGCCTAGTTCAATACAAACTAGATGAAAGCCCGTGCGATGCATGATTTTTCGTACATATATCTCAAGAAAAGATATTTCCTATATACTCTAAGTTTTTTTTTTTTTATAATTATTTGATTTATTTTACAATTTAATAATTTCAGACAAAAAAAAAAAAACAAATAATAATTTAATAAAAATGATATTGCCAATTACAAAAGTATAAATTTTTTTGTTGTAATTTATAATGCGACTTAATTTATTGTTGTTTTGTATTTTATTCGTTGTTGTTAGTTACATGACAATAATATGATATCTTTAAAAAAAAATTGTAAATATCATATTTCATTGATTACATATTAGGATAAAATTTTTAATGTGAAAAGATAATAATTTTTTACTTTTAAAATAATTTAAATCCTTAATCATTATTCGTTGCTTTTTACACTTGAAATTAAACTCTCAAATCTATATATCATTTTGTATATTTTCTTGTGATCCCTTGATCTCTAACAAATTATCTGTCTTTTCAAATTTTTAGACATAAAATGTTTAAAAAAGGTAAAGTTTTTTATTGAGTTATAAGTTTAAAATTTTTTTTATGAAAAAAACATCTTATTAATCGGGTGTTTAGATAAAACCACTAATTTCATAAGATAATTTTTATTTTTTTAATAATTTAAATCCTAATATCCCACGGTTTTTTATACATAAAATCTCATAAAAATAATTTTTGTAATTAGATCATACTCATAATATTTTTGAACATTTAAAATAATAGTTATTAGATGTAATATTTCGATGTAAAAAAATTTGTATTAAAAAAAAAATTCGATAGGATCACCAACTTTGTTCACAACGATATCTCTTCCATCTAATAAAAGTGGATAAATAGAACATGTTATCAAAAATAAAATTTATATAAAATTAATCTTTATAGTCTTATAAAATAAATTAAAATATTTACCAGAAAGTGAATAATTGTTGTGAAATTAATCTAAAATTTGTAATTATACAAAATTAAATCTGTGCATTGAAATTTTTTGTCGTCCCCAATTGCCCAACAATAGTATTTAATCATTATTTTATTGTCGCTGACAATGCATGCGATATTGCTTCTTATTTGTAACGACTGAAAAGTATCTAACGGAGTAGATTCTTCCTTCAATCAATTTTGAACAAAATTGTAGAACAACGTTGACTTTAATTGAGGCATGAACGTAATCACCCTGTAATTAAAAATAAAATTAAATTAAGTTAATTTTATGACTTAATAAGCTACCTAAATCACAAAAAATTTGCTTTAATCATAAAATTAATTGATAAAAACTAAAAGGTTCATTAAAAGGTTTAATAAATGTAAACGATTTATAAAGATATAATACCTCCTCATCCAATAGGATCATCAGGCGAGAAACTCGTACTTTGATATTCCAAAGATTTTTGTGGTACTTATTGGGTAATTTTAAATTAATTTTGTGGTACTTATTGGGTAACTTTCAATTGATTAAAGATTAACTATTGGTGAGCGTAGTAAGGGTAACTTTAATTTAGGTGAGTAAAGAGAAATTTATCCTTTTTACTAACCCAAAGAAAGTAACAAAGTCACTTATACCAGCTGAAAATGCTCCGATTAAGATTGATGTCCCAGAAGGACAAGTTCAAGTTGGAAATGATTCTTAAGCACGCCTGAAGCGTGGTAGACCCATCGATTCCAAAGATAAAAATCGTCGAAAAAGAAAAGGAGCAATAATTGATAATGGACAGACCAAGGAAGTTATTAATTTTGAAGGATATCCAGAGAGATCTTAGACATGATGGAAAGAGATATTCAGGTACCTGACAATGAAGAAATTTCAACAAATTTTTTCATGTTTGGAATTACATGGAACCGAAACCAAATCGACGTCGATGATGTTTTTGCATGAAATGTGGCATTAGATGTCATGAATGATGATGAGGATCATGAGCCAAAATCCATTGATGAATGTAGACAAAGAAGCGATTGGCCAAAATGGAAAGAAGCAATTGAAACTGAATTGAAATCTCTCAAAAAAAGAGAAGTATTTGGACTTGTAGTCCGTACATCTGAAGGTATGATACTAGTGGGATAAAAATGGGTCTTTGTACTAAAAAGAAATGAAAATGGTGATATTGTAAGATATAAGGCCCGATTAGTTGTACAAGGATTCTCACAAAGACCCGGTATTCATTATGAGGAGACATACTCTCTTGTGGTGGATGCAACTACTTTTAGATTTCTAATCAATCTAGCAATAAGAGAAGGACTTGATTTATGCTTGATAGATGTAGTCACAGCTTACTTATATGGCCCACTAGATAATGACATTTACATGAAACTCCCAGAAGGATTTAAACTGCAGGAAGCAGCAAATGCAGGTTCTCGAGAACAGTACTTAATCAAATTGAATAGATCTCTATATGGATTGAAACAATCAGGGAGAAAATGGTATAATCGTCTCAGTAAGTATTTGTTGAGAGAAGGGTATAAGAATGACCCTATATGCCCATGTATTTTTGTAAAGAGATTTGTATCAGGACATGTCATAATTGCAGTATATGTTGATGATTTGAATATTATTAGAACTCCTGAGAAGATTTCAATAACAATAGAGTGCTTTAAGAAAGAATTTGATATGAAAGATCTTGGAAAAACTAAGTGTTGCTTAGGGTTACAAATTGAACACCTACAGAATGGAATCCTTGTGCACTAGTCAACATACATAGAAAAGGTTCTTAAAAGATTTTATATGGATATAACATAACCATTGAGTAGCCCTATGGTTGTTAGAATACTTGATGTAGAAAAATATCTCTTCCGACCTCCGAAGAATGATGAAGAAATTCTTGGTCCTGAAGTACCATATTTAGGTGCAATAGGGGCATTAATGTATCTTGCTAGTCATACACGACCCGACATATCATTTTCAGTAAATTTGTTAGCAAGATTTCACTCATGCTCTACCCGAAGGCATTGGAATGGGGTTAAGCATAAACTTCGTTACCTTCATGGTACGAAAGATATGGGTTTGTTTTTCTCTAACCTATCCAAAGAAGGTTTGATTGATTTTTTCAGATGCAGGGCACATGTCTGATCCTCATAATGCTAGATCAGATTCTGGATATGTGTTTATGTGTGGAGGTACTTTTATTTCTTGGCGTTCTATGAAACAAACAATTGCAGCTATTTCTTCTAACCATGCAGAAATTTTGGCAATCCATGAGGCTAGTCGTGAATGTGTATGGTTAAGGTCTGTAATTCAACATATACAGACAGATTGTGGCATAAACTCCGAGAAAGAAGTTCCAACAATTTTATATGAGGATAATGCAGCATACATCGCCCAACTTAAGGAAGGGTTTATCAAAGGTGATAGAACATAGCACATTTACCAAAATTCTTCTACACTCATGATCTCCATAAGAGTCCTTAAGATTTGCTCGAGTGAAAACTTGGCAGATTTGTTTATTAAGGCGCTCCCAACAGCCATATTCAAAAAGTTAGCTTATGGCATTGGATTGCGTCGTCGAATAGATTTCAAGTGATGTAGTCATGAGGGGGAGTTAATGCGCGCTGCACTCTTTTTTTATTAACCATGGTTTTTCCCATTGGGTTTTTCTGGTAAGGTTTTTAACGAGGCAACATCTTATATGCACATTATAATGTATTCTTTTTGTACGGGTTTTCTTGTAAATTTTTAGTTATTGTTTTATTTAATAGTCATCCAAGGGGGAGTGTTATGAAATAATAAGTGGATGACTATTATCCCATAACTATCTAAAATATTCTAGAGTTGGGTATTTGATCTTATCCGATGATAAAACCCTAGATAATATACTTGTGTATATATCCCGTACTAGATGGAATAATATACAACAACGTACAAAATTTCCCTCATATCTCTATATATTTCTCTTCCATATTTAACATAATCTATCTTTTCCTGATTTTATTTTATCATGTAAAATTTGTACTAAAATGCTACTTTATAATTAAGTTTAATCTTAGAATGTGCCTTAAGTTGGTTTGACCCCTTTTCCAGTGAGAGCACGTACAAGAGGTTTCATTGCCAGGTTAGCGAGTTGGGTTCTAAATAAATGTGGGCCCTACAAATGTTAATTTATTTGCGAAAGTCGAAAATGTTATGTTGATTGGGATATTTTGCTGATTAATTTACAGAATTGGCACTAGATAAACGATTTTTGTTCATCATGATGATAAAGTGGGGCTTCCTCAACTAATTATGCAACAATTATCATTGTTATTATCAATTGCTCAGGGAGTTGACACTCAGCTTGATTGGTTAATTTTAGAGTCTAATTGGCCAACCAGGAGGATTAATATATATATATATATATATATATATATATATATATATATATATATATATATATATATATATATATATATATATATATATATATATATATATTGAATGGAATAGGGAGGGGTGATTGCATTTAATAATAATGGTCATTCGGCACTTACAATCATTTATCCTTTAAGAGATCTAAATTCTCAATACAAGAATTAAACACCCCTAAACTAATGGCATCGCTTCTGAACTGCTCCTAGATAATTTTAGATGTCTTTGCATCGTTCTTGACGGAGCTCCATTGATATATAGTCACAAAAGTGATAAAACTTGATTGGTCATCAAGATCTACATATTTGCAAGACGAATCTTCTAATTCTGCACCCCTATACCAACAGACCCGCAATTCCACAAATTTGTAAAACGAATCTTTCAAATTTGTATCCCTGCACACACTAAAAACAAACAAACAAACAATACTAAACCCTACATGGAGGGACTGACTTAACCTTACATGGAGGGACTGAGTATAATCACCATACTGTTGGTGATCTTTATTGGCTCAAAACATTAAATTGAAGAAGAAATTTGGGACTTACAATCGATAAAAATCGATGGCAGCCCCTAAGTTTTCCTATAGTGGCTAGGTTAGAGGAGAGAGAACAGAGAGAAATTTAGATTTTTTTTTTCTTGACCGCATTCAAATCAATAAGAGTGTCTCGGAGGATTAATATATATTAATCTGCCCATCTTGCTAATTACTATTTTTGTAAAACAATCTTGCTAGTTTCTTATTCTTAGTTTTAAGCATATATATTGCGTTAAAGGTATAATGTATGCCCCTTTTTTTTTGGCATGGGTAGTGCCTCTAAGAATGCATTTTGTATTATTTTACGTTAATCAATAAGTTTGGTGCCAGTATACTATTGTATTTTTCAATTTTAAATTTTTGTTTTAGTTAGCCATATGAAATATATATATGTCATATAAGATTTAAATTTAGTCAAACCTATTGAAAGTAAAATAAATTAGAAACTTCACTACACGAATTAGTACTTTTTCTGGTTTTTTTTTTTTTTTTTTTTTTAGGGTTTTGTTTTTGAAAAACTAAAAACAAAAAAAGGCACCAAACAAGCTCTTAATTATGTTAGCAAGGAATTTATTTACCAAAAACCGGCAGCTTATGTTATCTATTTTCATATTCAATTTATAAATTCCTTCTTCCATAACAATATTTAAAAAACTAGAAAAAAAGGTCAAATCGGTCCAAAAACAAACCCGACCTGAATTTTCAACTTTAATTTGGACCAGAACTGGATCAAATGATTCTGGTCTGAGTCATCAAGGAGGCATGGTTGACGGTTTCAGTCTAAACTGGTTTGAATTGTTGGTTCGTTATTAAATTTCAAAAATTCACAATTTAAGAACATACTATTCAAATAAAAAGAACATAATTTGTATTATTGATACCCAAAGAACATGATCAATTTATATACTTTAAAGAACATTGTTTGTAACGTAATATAGTTTAGACTCAATGAACATATTGATCAAACTCTAGAAACATATTTCATTCCAATTAAAAAGTGATAAAAGAACATTTATCAAAATATAAGGAACATCATATTCAACCTTAGAAAATAACACCAAAATAGCGAAGTAGCTTATTAAAATTGAAATATACCTTTTCTCTCAACAACGAATTCGTCAATTACATATTTCAATTAAAAGATTCATTGAAACAATTTAATCAACTTCGTAATAACATTAAATCACTTTAAAATTCAAATTTTACCATGATTTCTCTTTATATAACTCAATTTCTCTCTCAAATTTATCAAAAGTAATATAGAATGTAAATAATAAATCAATTCCATGAATCAAGGAATATAAATAACAAATCAATCCCTTAAATCAAGGAGAGCATCATTTTGATTTTTTTTTTTCTCGTGTACATTGTAGTTGTACACCATGTTCTTTCCCCGTTTTTATAACTCTTGTATTTTAATTGGGCGTACCATGAGTGATACACCCGAATGTATGATAAAATGGTTTTGGTCCAGTCTGATCCGATTTTGGATCGCTATAGAGCCCTAACCGCAAGACGTACTTTAGCTGCATGTTAGTTAGGTGGTAATAAATGTTGATAACCGGAATCAATTTGTACATGGATTTGTAAGTTAAGTCACTATCCATGCTCATGGTAATGACAATTATTCACTAATTTTCATTATCTAATTATCTTTACCAATCTTTACCATTTAGGGGTGGTAATGGACATTTATATGAAGAAAAACACAATTATTTAGATGAGATTGCATAAATTAATATGTTCATTGCTTGTTGAATTATGCTTTAGTTCAAATTCGTTACTAGGTTTTAGAGGTCATTTTGGCCCTTAAGGTCCAATTTCATGTCAAATTTGACAAAAAAATCAGCAAAAACGCATCATTGTATGTGCATCACGAAAGTTGAGGTAGTTTTTAATACGCGCAAAATGAGACATTTATAATTATTTTTTTTATCAATTTTGACCTCAAATAGAATCCTATAGAGCCAAAATAATTCCCGAAACCTATAAAGAACATATTTCTGGCCCGAAAATCGAAGAAATTTTGCTTTTTAAAAAACGTTAGATTTAATGGTTTTGTTGACGAAAAATGTTAAGTGGTGGTGAAGCCTTTTTTTTTAAAAGTGTGTTATTTTTTGGCAGTAAAATGAAATAATTCTAAAGACAACACATCAAACATTCAAGATTTTTCATTCTTTCATACTCCAACAACAACGAACGACATTGAGATGATCCTCAAATGGAACAAATCAATTACGTCAAGTACATATTATACTAATAGCTAGATAATAATGACGAGTACATACATAAAATGATATGATCATCCTTAGATACTCAAACTCTAAACTAGCTACTTTATTCTTAACTCTTAAATGAAACGACTAAGTTATTAGGACATATAATAAGCTAGCTAGAGCAGTTCCCCTAGCTAACTCGTAATTAGCATATCGTATCGATCACTAGACGGGACACTTGTATTGAGTAGGATTGTTAACTCCACAAGCATTAACGATGGCGAGAAGCTCCTGGTTAAGGAGGTCGCTGCCACTAAGGCCACCAAGGACACCACCAAGGACATTAAGGAGATCGCCAAGGGTACTTCCGAGAGGGGTGGTTTTGAGGCTAGTGCAAAGGCAGAGAACAAGATCAGCATCGGCAATTCCGTGAACGAGCTCACAACATGAGGTCCTTGATTGGCTACCTAACGGGACATTCACCAATTCGTTGGCAATGTTAAGACACACATTTAAGTCAGGGCAAGTAGCAGCATTAGCTGACACAAAAGCAAAGATGGCTAGGTTAACCATCATGAAAGCAACGGCGGATT